TTTTTTTTTTTTTTTAATACACAGCGCGTCTCGACACGCGAACTTTGGAGATAGGAGAGGAAGACGATAAAGAGAAGGAGAAGGAGAGAACAGGCTAGAGGTAGACGGGGGTGATCAGAGGAAGTGATCTATGTCGGGATTGAGAGGGGGCGGAATAGGCGGAAGAAAAGCGGCCATTGCCGCGGGAGTCGTTGGCGTATCTTCCTCATGGAAGTGGTGCTGCACGAACGAAGGATAGAGGAAAGCCCCCGGCACATGAGACAGGACACGTGGCGCCAGATCCGCGACCGCTCGCACCACCCGCTTGCGCACTGATCGGGGCCCTGGACCCGTCATCACCACATGAGTCTCGGTGTAAGGCCGCCGCTCCCGTTTCTGCGCCGCGAAGACAAGGAAGTGGTACATCGCATTGGGACGCTGCCCGGTCTCGTAGATGAGCGTCCCAGCCAGTCGCGCTGCAATACACCCTTGAAAAGGGGGTGTCAGATATGGCTCCCATGCCGGATCAGGGCGCGGTGTCCCCGCGATGGCCTCGAGCCTGATCGTGGCGGGCTCCACCATGAAGTCCACCTCTGTCGGATGGACCGTCCGGCTCAAAGGAACTACTAATGTCAATGACCGGGGCACCCCGGGGTGGCTGGTGGGAACGGAGAGGTCCCGCGAGGACGGGGGGTCTGGATATGGGATCCGGAAATCCCATTCGGCTTCCTCCTTCGGCTGCTGCTGATGATGATGGCCCGGCTTCATCAAGATTGAGATCGGGCACATGCGGAAAGGGCGGCGATGGCACGACGGTCTCCTTAACGAGCGTCGCCGCACTCCCAGGCACGGGGTCAGGATTCCGCGTACGCGCGGGCTGAATCACCTCCTCGCCGCCGCCGATCCTGATGCCTTGCGCTCCTGGCGACGGGTGGCGTCTCTTCCTCTTCGGCGTCTTCTTGGGGGCCTTCGGTGGCGCCGGTCGAGGATACGACGAGGGAGGCCGCAACAGCTTTTCCTCCGGGAAGTCCTCCAACCTCTCCGCGCTGCGCAATGTAATCCGGGATGACGACCACGTTGTACGTTCTCCGCGGGGCCGTCGCCATCCGCAATCGTGGTTGGATCTCCTCCTCCTCGCTCGCAATCACTTGCGCAATGGAGAGGAGCTCAAGATGTATGAGCTCCAACAATCCCGGATCGATCGTCTGGAGCTGGGCGAATGGGTACAGCGCCACTGTCCCTTCCTTCTCCGCAGTCTTGGGCCGTGTGATGACGTAGTAGACGACGAAGTGCTCCCCGATGCAGTGGTCTTCGTGATCCATGAAGAACCGGAACATCCCCAGCGCCACCGACTTGTACAGCGCACGGTGCAACTCCCACGTGTCTTCGCCAGCGAAGGGTAGCGGCTCCACGTCAGTCAGCTCCACCAAATACTTCGAGAACTCGAGAACTCGCGCATCGGATAAGGGACCTCCGTGAGCTGATAGGGGAGGGTGGTGTAAGAGAAGAAGGGAGGCATTTAGTACGGTACAGGGGGAATAGCTTGGAAGTTGAGAGGAGCAGCGGGAGGAAGAAGCGCGGGGAGCTGTGGCACCAACGCAATTGGTCCGTCCTCTGCCCTGCGCAGCAGCACTTCGTGGGCTGTGAATCGGTGTCCCCCCCGTCCTTGCAATCTGGCCACTGATCTGGCCGCTTCCACCGTGTATTCGCGCACAAAGCTTCGCGCCGGCTCCCGATTCGACTGCGGTAGGATCGTCAAGTCTCCGATAAAGGTGGCGACGCTGTGCACGAAGTTGGGTGCCACCTGGAGCGTGCGGAACTCAATGAATACTCGAGTCGTCTCCTGGCCAGGCAACTGCGTCACGTCCACGTACACCCCCGCATACGTCAGCCGATCGCAAAGCAACGAGTATGCCGCCAAATCAGCAACCCCGGGCGCTGGCACGTTCACCTGCTGAATGTCGTACCGCAACTGCCTTTCCTCATTGAACTGATGCCGCAACAAGCGATCTGCAAGCGGCGTCTGGAATTGCTCGAGGGGCTCATGCTCCGGCTGGCGATGGTTCATCCTGCTCCCTGAAACTCTCAGCACCAATGGGCGAGGCAGATCGGGAAGAGGAGGAGGATGAAGAAGGAGAGGGTGATCTCGCAGGAGCGGGGGTCCGTAGGGGACCTAGCGATGGCTGGAAGGGCCGGAGCGCGGCAGCGTGCCGTGTCAGCGGTCGGGCCTGGGAGTTGTGATGGGGAATCAGCTTCACGGAGTGCTGTCCCTGTGCGCCAACTTCCGTGACCTCGTAAATGCCTTTGTAGCGCGGGTGGATCTTGGAGGAGCGTGCAGATTTTCGTACTTGCACCAAGTCCCCAACTTTATAGCGGGGCAGTGGTCCCGCCGACGAGTGTTATTCTCGTTGTCACGGATCTGCCATTGATGTGTCCGATCTACGGCCTGCTTTCGACGGCGAGCTAACGGGGGATAGGCCCTAGCCATTAAGTCCATGTAGTGGCGGGCCTTATCTCGGTTCTGGGCCCGTGTTGCTCTAATTTCCGTACCTACTAAGGGGGACAATTGCACCCAAGGGACACTATTGGTTCTCAATTGAAAGGGGGACACCCCAGTACTACCGTGTGGGGTAGCCCGATAAACGGCCAAAATGTGATCGACAATGACCGGCCAGGTCGGGTGTCTCCCGCAGTGATATTCCATCTAAGGGCGGTCTTAATCAGCCGGTTGGCATTCTCTACCCGGCCATTGGCTTGAGGCCAATGCCCCGGCGAGTAGATAATCTTAACGTCCGCCCTGACTTGGTGACGTTCTACTTCGCCTTGAAATTCTGACCCATTGTCCATGTGTACCTCTTCTAGGTCTAGATGCATGCACAAAAATCGATTTACGTACCAGGCTACTTCCTGCGAATTCCGGCTGGTCATAGGGTACGCCTCGATCCATTTCGAAAAATGATCGACGGCCACAAAAAGAACATTGAGCTCTCCCTGATCGACGGGACCTCTCAGAACGTTGATATCCGTCGTGTCGATGCTAACCCTCTGAAAGGGGCGCTCTACACGAGTGGGCACCATCGTCCGAGGCATCTGTACCGGCGCCTTGTCCGCCGCGAAGGCCGGGCAATTCTGAGCGGTGTATTTCACATCTTCCCAAATTCCCGACCAGTACCATCCGTTCTTTTTTATGGCTTTTTCCGTGTACTTGACCGCGAAATGGACCGCATCCTCTTCATGAGCGGCTCGTGTCCAATCGAACCTAGCGAAAGGGTGCGGAACCGTCAACCAGCTAGACCCTCCGTCATCATCGACTTTTCGTTTTTGTAACGTCGGTCCCTGCCAGCGATAGTCCTGCGCCCACTCCGTGACTCTCTGCCGTTCGGCTTTGGTAAGTTCTGATAGCGAGTCGCCTGGCAGCCTCCGTAGCAACAAAAGGTCCGTCCAGACTTCTGCTCGGCGGACACTTGGCGCAAATGCGTCGGCCGTTCGTGCATCTAGATACCGTTTTTCGGTAGGGACTTGGTCCGTTCTACAGTTGTGACAGACCCACGTCTTTTCACTTCGGTACCTAACGCATTGTCCGTGGGACTTGACCGCTTGACACCGACTACATTGCACCCACAAAAGAAAACTGGGCCCTCCCGGATGTGACCCTTCTTGGTCCGGGACCATAGGCAAGGTACAGAAAAAAACAGGGACTCAGATGTGTTTCAGGGGACGAGTAGGGACTATACGAGAGAGCGAGGGAGTTGGATGAAGGCAAAGAGATATCGTATGCCATCTCCGGCGAAACCTCCATTCCGGACTCAAGGCGTCGTTCTTGCGCAGCACGTGTAGCTCCCCGTAGTGCGGTTTCGTTGCCGCGACTTCTGGCCTCCACGGAATGAGTCGCTCGTTGGCGGGACGCTTGTTGGGCGGCAGGAGGCGCGTCAATCCATCGGCGTTACCATGCTGCCGCGTGGCACGGTGGCGGATGTCGAAGTCATAATCTTGCAGACGCACCGCCCACCTGCCCAGCGTCCCCGTGTAGTCCGTGTTGTTGCGTAGGGACAGCAGCGACTGATGATCCGTTACCAGCACGAATTTCTGGTCGTAAACATACGGTCGGAAATGCTGAATCCCCCACACCACCGCCAGGCATTCGCCTTTGCACGCTTCGTAATTAGCCTGCGCCTGGCTCAGCGTCTTGGACGCATACTCAATGACGTGTTCCCTTCCGTCCACCCCGTGTTGAGTCAGC